TTTCGATAATTTTTTATAAAAATATAGTTCATTTTACACCAAAAAACATAAAAATAAAATATCTAAACTTTGTGCAAAACTCAAGAAAATTCATTAAACTTGCACTCTAATTTGTAGCTTTTTATTCAGATTTTTTAGAAAAATTCTGCGTATGCAGTTTTATAGCCCATTCAGTATAACAAAATGCAAGTTTAAAGTTGCTAGAGAATCGCGTTGATTTTTGGCATTTTTTTTAGTGGAAGATGTTGCTCATTTTCTCCATACAAAAAATAATTGTGGAATATACTTTGTATGGAAGAACTTGCGTGAAAAAAAATTACCAAAAATTAATTTTCTAGCGACTTCAAACTTGCACTTTGTTATACTAAATTTGAATGGGCTATAAAACTGCATACTTAGAATTTTTATAAAAAATCTGAATAAAAAGTTACAAATTAGTGTGCAAATTTAATGAATTATCATGAGTTTTGCACAAAGTTCAGAGATTTTATTATTATGTTTTCCGATGTAGAATGAACAATATTTTTATAAAAAATTATCGAAAATAAATAAGGATAAAAAACTTTGCATATATTGCGAAAAATTCACTGTGCCAATACTTCTGTTCGGCACTGTAGATAAAAAATCAATTTAGCATTATGTGTATCTACATATAAAGCATTGTATAAATTTGTTAGTTTGCTGTCTGATAATGTTTGAATGATGCACAGATGGTTGTTATTATTATTAGATAATATAGTTTTTGTAAATAAAGTAAACAAAGTGAAAATAGCAAAGCTTTTACCCAAGTAACGTTAGTTTTTTTAATTCTTATGAATCCAAATTATGGTTTAATTTAATTAGAAGTCACGTAAAACTAGCACAAGGTCCCAGTACATTTCAGTGCTACGCCCGTTGACTATTTATTTACAAATTGGTTCATAACATATTTTTCCATGGCCAATGAGTATCAATAAATAGTTAAAAATTTTGAATAAAACCACTGAGGCAAGTGTAATTATTGAAATTTCACTTTCATTTCAGTGTTTTTGCTGCACCCACGAACATACCGACATACTTAGATACATTAAATTGACATCACTTATATGACTTTTTTGAACTTTTTACGCGATTTCTAAAAAATCGTTGTTAAAAAATTTCATTTGTAATGGATTAATTTGCTTGCATAAAAAATGTTACAAGAAGCATAAGATTTTAAATTGCTCCAAATTACTCTCTGTTACCATAAATATGTATTGTAAGTATGCTGGAAAACAACGTTCATGCCAAATTACTCCCACGCTCTATTTACGTTGACGCCAGCAAGCGACTAATTCCCTTCGAATATGGAGTGTATAAGTATGTATGAATATTAGGTTGACGCACCGAGTAAAATTTTGAGGTGGCTCGCAGCGACTAATATCTTGAAAAATAACGATTTTTTCATGTTTTCCCTTTGGTGGCGCCATTGAACTTATTGTGGCCGTAATCAGGAGTATAAGTTAAGTTTGGTTAGCTTAGCTGGTACGTGAAATCTCACAGATGTATTACATATACCAAGCGAGTGTTTTTAGTGAGGATTAACTATTTGATAATCCTTTGACCTACAATTTTCTTCAGTGATAACTGAATCGCGATCTTCCTAAAGCTGGAGATTAGCATAAGAGATTGCCGAGTGTATTTTTGTAGCTACGAACACTTTATTCGCATGTCAAGCATTCTGCACTGTGCGCCACTCCTAACTTGAGCGCATGAGATGATGTGAGACATTGTCCCATAAGTACCCCAACAAGCGCTTTGCAGCGGAGAGTTTACCCTGCTTTTGGCTACCATATCTGCCCGGTAATTTCCTTCAATTCCATTCTGTCCTAGCAACCAGTAAATAGGCACTAGTCTATTGCGGCATAAATCGTCTATACTGTTTTCTATGCCTGTCGATAAAACAAATATTTATGGGGAGTTGGGAAGGCTAACCGTATTATGCTGCATTTATCTGGGAGCTTACATACCTACTCCTCCGAGAAAAAATAGCGACTCCCACGCCTTCACTCATTTCAGGCACGTCAATAGCAAAGAATAGGGTTTTTTATTAGGTCGGAGTCCTTTCTTCCAACCGTTTTGCCTATTTTGAGGTGCGCCCCAATTGTTAGTCCCTAGCTCACGTAAATTACTGAGCCCAATGTCGATTTACTCGCAACTTCGTTTATCGAATATATATTTGAAATTGTATCGTTCGGGGGGTGCACAATACTGCAGTTGTTATACGCACATATGTAGTTCTGTAAACCCTTGAACACTCTTCAAATGTGTAGATCCAATTAGTGAGCCGTGTAGATAGCTCCACTGCATTACCGTCAATTTGCTGCCCTTAGGTAAGTAGGTAAAGTATGGGGTGGCTGGCGTCAGCGCGGCATTCTTAGGCCATAGACAAAAGACCTATTGTGTTACCTCAGTCTGACACTATTCCATTATCCCAAAACATTTGGGCGGAAGCGTGTTGGCGGTTAAGTTCCACAGAACACATCCCTGGGCGCACGCCTCGTCACAATCCTCGACATTTCGCATGCTCCCAGCCTCGCCTTCACTACTCTACCGCAGAGTAGCTGACCGATAAAGTTCACCAGTTATGTAATTTAACTGCCCGTAATAACTCCTCGCTATTTGGTAGACGATTTAGGTGTAAGAGTACTATTTTCTAATGTACGTGGAGACCAGCAACTATCAAATCCGCCTTCGCTGGAATTACTTCTTCAGTTTTCACTGATGCATTGCACGAGGTCTAGCTTAAAAGGTAGGAAAAGAATAATTAGAGAGTTCCCAGCTGTTTAAAAATTTCAGTTTATGGTGATTTCGTTTCTTACAAAAAATGTTGCCGTTTCCCGGAAAAAGAGCCCCTGTAAAAGGGCATTTCATAATATTGTCGTTTTAAGCACCCATCTGATTTTCAGAGGAAACATTTCCCCTGACAAAGTTTCACAGGCAGAGAATGTGCCTTTTTTGCCTTACATTTTATGAAACGATCACAAAATTTTCTCACACTTTGCGTTTCATATAAAATCGAAAACGAAAGGTGAGAAGGGCATTCGAAAATATTTTGGTGAAAGGTTGCCAGCTGTTTGAAAATTTGAATATGATTTAATTGATAAGATAAGTAAAAGGTTGCCACCTGTTTTAAAATGTTTATCCAATAGGTGAAAATATTACAATACGGGTATCAAACTAAAGAGATTTTAAGAATTTTGTTGTCGAAAATACTTTTCTAGCGGGTTGCCACCTGTTTAAAAATTGTTAATTCAATTAAAGTGATAAGATAAAGAAAATACAATCGTAATCGTGTACAATCGAGTTATAAGAGTATAAATTAAATTTCCAGGTTTAAATACCTTCGAAAATCTTTGACCTAACAGCCTTATGTATAAAGAGTAAAGTATGTTTCGTAAATTTTTTTGAAAATCACACTTCATAAAGCTCTTCAAATCGCATTTGATTTTCTTTTATGAAGCCATAATCTTTTTGGAAAAGAGTAACAACACAAAAATACTTTTAAGGCGCAGTGAAGCACGCCGGGTATTCGCTAGTCTTGAATAAGAACTGATTGCTTACAATCTCCCACTTCCAGGTAGATAGAGCATAATATCGAAAACACTATCGAAAATTAAATCAAACAACGTTTTTATACATACGACTATTCTGGTGACAAAAATTCCACCAAAAGATAGAGCATCCCCGATTTAGTAGGTAAAATTTTTACGGTTTTCAATAAAAAACATGTCCCTTAATTTTAGAGGAGGTGGACGGGTGATTTAGATTACCCTGTATCGTTACTGATAATCCTATCAAAAAGTTGTAACGACGGAGACAATATGCGCGTTCCTTATCTCCCAGAAATAGTCAGAAAAAGTCCGAAGTAGTCAGATTTAGTCCAAAAAGCGTTCCTTAACTCGGAAATGACAGCAAAAATGAGAGAGCAACAGTCAGTGAGAGCGACTCTCATCAGTCCGAAGTAGTCAGATTTAGTCAGAAGAATTTTTTCTGGCAAAATCCTGAAAAGTGTCAAACTCAACTGAATTTAAATTAACGGAAATTAAAGAATACGCAAAAAGTGAGAATAATCTAAAAAGTAAAAGAAATGAATTGAAATTGGAAGGAGGCAAAAAATAATTGATAAAGCAAGTGTTTATTGTGCTTGTGCTTGTGTGAATGTGTTTTGTACATATATTTCTGTTCTTATTTGACGTTAGTTTTGTTGTTGCCATTCTTTGGACTAAAAATTTGGTTTTTTGCGTTCCTTTACTTTTCCTGTTACTCTCTTTTAGTGAGCGCATTTTGCTTACGCTCTGGCATTTTGACACTTTTCAGATTTTAGTCCAAAAAGATAAGGAATGAACCTAATGATGAAAATCTAATAAATCCACATACATTTTTTTCTAATAGATACATAGTATAAGTATTTATGTAGCCGATCCTTGTATTACATACGAGCCTACTTAGTTGTCTAAATATTTGTGTGTGTGTGTTATTATTTATAAGCCAGCATGTTCGTTAATCCAATTCACATGATAGTAGACCTTAGCATAACCATCTGGATTGCCAGTACCACAACCGCCATAAACGAATCCAGCAATGCCCACCACTTCGCTCTCGTACAAAGCAGGTCCACCTGAATCACCATTGCATGCACCGTTATTAGGATTGTGCGCCAGACAAATAAGAGCATCACTATCCCAATTGATGGCCGCTTTGCATTCGTCACGCGAGATTGCCGACAATGTGTTCCACTGCAACTTTTGTGGCAAATCACCACC